GTTGTGTTGTGTTGTGTTGTGTTGTGTTGTGTTGTGTTGTGTTGTGTTGTGTTGTGTGTTTGTGAGTTTATGATTGTGTGTTTGTGGTTGTATGTTGTTGATTGTGTGTTGCGTGTTGTGTGTGTCCAATAGTGCCCATTGCGATCTGGCGCTTGCTGATGCGGTCCTGTACAGCCCACTGCGATCTGGCACTTGCTGTTGAGGTCCGGGCGGCGGAAGGAGAAAGGAGGAAAGGAAGGAGGAAGACAACTATATATTTAAACAACTATACAAAAAAACATCACCTGACCGGTAGGGAAACACTGATATATGATTGTTTTTCGGAATTCAATATCCTTAAACCGTCGGGCTCATTATGACCATGGCTCGTTGGGAGCCACCTTGCCAGGTGATCGGTGCATAGGTCATTGGCGCTGGCGCCACAGGCATGGGCTGCGCTGCCTGCAGAGATGGTGTTCGCGCCGCTTGGACGAGGAAGATAAAAAACAACAAAAATGGGTGGAAATCATTGGAAATGTGTCAATGTTTTCTTTTGAAGGACGATCGCAGCATTGACATTGGCTCTTCCGCAACAACTTGTTTATGTTCCTCTTTGCTCTGCCAACGTGGTGTAGATGTGTGCTTGTGGGGTTCGGGCATTTGATCCGGATTCCACTGTGGGGTTACTAGTTCGGTAAAACCCCAAGGGGTCCCAATGACATTGCAGAAGGCTTCACTGGGTAGATTGAGCAAAGGCTTGAATTCCATGTTTCATGCTCTTCTTGAAGGGTGCAGGGCTGTGTATAACAATTGTTGAGGACGTTGTTCATTCCCACAACCTGCTCTAAAAGTATTCCCTGGTGGGAAAGTTCTTGTTTGTCTCTCCCCCTCTCTCTGACTTCCAACCCCTTCCAAACGATTTCGAACGCCCCACGAATCCCACGCCACTGTGGAGTTCCGGGAAACCCGGAAGGAGCGAACTGTCCGTTTCCATGAATCCAATCTAAATACCCGAAGAAAAATGGAAAGACCAGGAGTCACAAAGGGGTGCTTTTTAGTCCCTACAGTATGTGATTGGACAATGGGCACCCCTATCCTCCAAGTTCGGCACCCCTTTGTGACTGCTGGGATTGGATGTTTTTCGCCCCACAGGCCGGAAAGAAGACGGATATGCGTATGGAGGAAGGCGTCTGCTTTGGCAGCCTTTAGCACTCTGCTGGCCAATCGATCCACGGATCTGCGTACGCCGAAATCCTCGCTCCCTTCCAAAGAGGGTGGATCCATAGGGTAATTATGTGGATCTTGGAGGCTTCAAGGTCGTACTTGGGAATATGATGTTGGAAGATCATTCACCCAACATGAAAAATTAACACATTGTAGTTAATCTTCTGAACCACTGTCCCAAATGAAGCGAGTTTCTATTGGAGTCGTATGGTTCGGAACTCTCTGAGGAGTAGGTGTAGGGCTATCCCAAGCATCTGTACCCATCCACTCCACCAAGAAGGGGCTAGAAAGGCGCCTGAAGGATGGGCGTCACCTGAAGGATGCCGGGTCAAATGGACAGATCTGCTGATTCAAAGATCTCATGGATGGCAAGTCCCGTCCGTCCGCATCTTGTGAGAGTCCATGTGAACACGTCTTATGAGAGTCAGGCGGCACAAACAACACCTGTGTATTTGTCTTTGGCGGGTGATGGCACTCCCGCTGTCAAAGGAGCTGGAGGTGGAAGAAGCTTTGGATGGAACATGTGGGGTACAACCACCACCACAACCTGAGCTGCTTTGCTTGAAGATGGACCACAATTTCGATTGATCTACCCTCCTTCTGACAATCATGGAAGTGGATGGCATGCCCCCCCCAAAAAATATACTAAAAAGCACTGGGTGTTTGTCTACCTTCTTCAAGCCTTCTTCTTTGTTGGAGTCCGGGATGGTATATAACAATTAGCGCTCTTCCGATCCATGGTGGATCGACAGCGCTCCTTCCGCACGCCCAATTTCTGCTTGTGTTCAGCTTAGTGCGATGCATATCCGCTGCCACCCTCGACGTTCGACACGGTTTTCTGAGTGGCAACCAGGAGGGTCCCAAGAAAGTTCCAAAGTTAGCAAGTGATGAATGGAGGGGAGGAGTGCAAAATCGGCACATATGTGGAGATAAGGAGATAGTGAGTTAGAAGATGTACTTGCATGTCATGCGCGTCAACCAAGCAGCACTCCAAAGAGCTGTGGCAATCCACCCAGTGATTCAAGAGTTGACCCAAACCACAATGGATCCTGGATATTCCATGGCATTTCTCAATAACAAGCTTGTCTTGAAAAGATCAACAAAACACCATGTTAAAATCGAATACCCAAATCACCATGTCGGTCGGTGAACACCTGTTCCGTTCGTTCCTTCTTCCAAGCTCCACGAGACCGCACGGAGCGCCTGCTTCTCTTGCTCCAGGTGGACCCAGCCTTCCTGGCAAGTCTGAGGACCCCAGACTTGGCCAACCCCAAGAGATCCCCAGGGAAAAGGTCAGGGGCCCACACACTGGAGATGGTGTGTGATGGTGTTTGGAATAGCAATGCCCCCCCAAAAAGACCACACGCTTGGCCGGAAAAGAGGGAGAAACCTCAAAGCACTCGTTCTCAGCTTGCCTTTTACGGAAGCGTGCACTGCGGCTGCACTCCCTCCAAGGCTCTTCAATTAGGAGAGCCCTGATATTTGACCAAGGGGAGGGGCCCTCAGTTCAAATGAGATCCAACCAAGGGGACTTTACCCTAGTTGCTCGAAGCCTCAGATGGGATCCATTTTCGAAGGCACCCGATGCTTCGATGCCAGTTCGGCGTTTGTTGGGGGGCCAGCAGCTGCTAAGGTACCTGTTCTGGTCAAAGAATACATGATATATATAATATTATGATATACATTGACATGCTGGTTGGTGGTTTCAACCTAGTGAATGGATGAAGCTGACATCTGAAACAAGGACTTTCGGACTTTCTGTACTTTTCTTCAGACCTTTGGTGATCTGAACTCTTCCTCGAACTCTCACATGGGGGTGGGCCAAGCTGCATCAACCTGCGATCGGACTGACAAAAATGAACCACACATTTACGGAACGATGAAGCCCCACAATCCATGTATGGAATGTTTATCTACATTGACTCTGAAAACATCTTAAAACCACTCGATTGTAGGTAACTCTTTTATTTTTATTTTTAAACATATATATATATATATAGATAGCAGGTTCGATTTTGATGCCCGAGGCACGCTGCCAGACCCAGTGCTTCAAGCTGAAGGCCCTAAGGCGTTGCCGTTGAGAAATCAAGGACATCAGACGTATGCTCATCTGCAGAGACATGAGTTGTGGGAGCAGTGGAGCACGCCCTTGCGTGCACGTGTTGATTCGGACATGCTTCTGGAGCTACTTCGTGATGCAACGAGACAGACAACGTTGTACCACGCTGAGATCAGGGCAAGCATGATTGCCTGGAGCCAGCTTCCGGAAGTTGTGGAAGTCCTTGCTGCCTCGAATGCGCGTGATGTTGTCCAACAGTTTTTAGACCTTGCATCCGCATCATGGTTCTTGCGACGAGACTTGCTTGCTGCTGTACCAAATGAGACTGTTGAACACTTTTTTGCAGTGCAAGGCCTGTGCATGGATATGTTGCCGTGCATCATTCCAGATGCACCACGATATAAGCCTAGGATGGTAGCACATTTGTTTTCGGGTACTCGCCGTGAGCGAGACCTCCAATTTTATTGGGAACAGATGGGGTTCACTGCACTATCCATAGACATCATTTTCCACAAAGAACTGGGAGATCTAGGGAAACCCGAAACAATGGACTTCTTTATGAAGGCTCTCCAATCTGGCATGCTTGTTGGATGGGTGGCCGGGCCGCCATGTGAGACGTGGAGCAAGGCTCGTAAACACGAGTTTCCAGGAGGACCGAGGCCAGTCCGAAGCTACCAGATGCCGTTCGGCCTGCAGGACCTTACATACAAAGAGCACGTCCAGGTCAGCATTGGGAGCCTCTTGTTGGGGATCTCATTTACTTTGTTCTGGTACAGTGTGCTTTCAGGGGCAACTGCTGTGATCGAACACCCTGCAGAGGTAGGATTGGAGCCCAACGACCCCAGTATCTGGAAACTTGATGTGGTTGCTTTCTTTTTGCATTTTCCCAACGTCAAGAAGATCAGAGCGTTGCAAGGGCACTATGGGGGAGCGACCCCCCATGGCCACTGACTTGTTGATCTTGAACGGTGGCTGCGACCCTGAACAAGTACTCGTGCAGTCCCGCACGACCCAGTTGCCGAAAGCCTCAGCAATCGGCAAGAATGCCGATGGGTCATGGAAGACGGGGGTGCTGAAGCAGTATCCGCCGGACTTTTGTGCATGTCTAGCGCGGCTTTTCGAGCACCAACTGCACGAGGACGGGCCCGAAGCGAGCCTGCCGTTTGACTTCTTGTCGAAGGTTGAGCACTTTGTACAGTCGTTTGACCAGCAGGCTGCGATGGGGCCAGACTTCAACGCGTCTGCATGTAATTTATAATTTGTTGCAATCTGGTCACAGGCAAACGCCTTCGACGCACAGAAGAGGAAAAGAGGAACATATATATATATATATGTAATGGTAGCCCCCGCACCGCGTCCCACGCGGTCGCCGCGTCCCACGCGGCCTTTCACTCGCTCGGGCCTCAAAGTCCCTGCACAGTCGCTCGTTGACACTCCTATTAAGTGTTTTTGTACACACGTCGAATGGAGCTGCCGGGGATGACAGACTGGCTTGCTTCATGATGCATTCCGCGGGCGCGGAAGTAGTCAACCAAATCTCGCAAGGCCGGTGACCCACTCTGGTAGTGGGACTGGCAATAGCTACGATAGCTGGCCAAATCTTCGCTCGTGCTTTCAAACATTTCAGCATAGCTCTTGGAGCCTTTGTACTTCCCAAAGGACACCACCGTCTTTCCCCATTGGGTGATTGTCGACACCCCATGTGGCAACTCGCCACCAGGACTTGGGCTAGCGATCAGGTTCTTCTCGGAAGGCATAGGCGGATCAGCAGTTGTGTAGCCGGATCCGTACGTCACTGGTGTTGATGGAGCCCTGTCCTCACGCAATCGCTTCGATCCATCCGACATAGAGCCAGAAAGGGAAGGAGACCAAGCTTCGTCCAAAGCCAGATCCTCAGCATCACGGACCCGGTGCATGATGGCATCCCATGCACCGCACTTCCTGGCCTTCATGGTACCGCAGGAGTGAAGGCACTCAGTCCACTGGACATCGCCATGGTTCCTCTGTCACAAGCGAAAGGATGACACAAGTGGCCGTCGAAAGTTGGAGAACCTTGTTGAGCCATGTGTGCATATATCTTGGCATTACCACACATTAAGACGTCAAGGAGTGATATACTTCAAGCACGTGCCCTATGGACTGGTCATTAGCTATATCAAGGCAAAACTCTAATTATGCATTGAGGATCACAAACAAAAATGCACTTCTACCTATCATTCTCCCAAGACGGCACATACCCCTGAGTGCTTCAAGCACTCTCCCCAGGCCTAGTGTGCCGATCATTCGAATGGTGTGCGGCAGGTCTTTCCATGTTCACACTATCCTCAACACAAGACTGCGATTTCGAGCTAGAGGCAAACTGTTTTCGTCTATCACGTTCTTGGGCTCTGCGCTGCAACACAAGCTCCTCTGGGCTTATTTGGTATCGGGCGGACCTCAAACAGGCTCTCAACAAGTCAAAGGCTTCTGGACTTTCTTTTGTTAGAGCATCAGCCAACATTCTGTTTGTCGGGATCCACCTTAGTGTTGCTTGCATTCGACGAATGCTGTCCCTGAGTATGACGATGTCGATGGCGGTACGCCTATCGTCCAGCGTTGGTGACGACTGGGAGCTCAGGTGGTCGTACAAGGACTTGCAATCTGTCACAAGCATGGTTAACCGGTTTCCCAAACTACCCCATAGGCTTTGTGGACACCTAGAACCGTCTAAGGCTTCCGAAAGGATGAGATTGGTCCATTCCAACATGCTAGAAGCAACCGACATACTTTGGGCCTCTGCACTCAACGTTGAGGAAACAACCCTTGGTAACCTGAAACTCTTCCAATACGCTGGAGAACATTTGCAGTCCTTACCTAGATTCACATCTTTATGCACAAAGCTTACTATGAACCCTGCTTGTGTCGCTCCTGCTTTGGCGTTGGCGAACGCCGCATCTGAATGACACATGAGAGCCAGGTCATTGGGACCAATGGCACAGAAACGAATTTCTTGATCCGAGTGTTGTTTTGCACGTCGGACCGCATGGTTCACAGCTATGGCATCTTCCACACAAGGTTGTGGGAAGGACTGTTGTGAGAAGGACACCTGAGTTGCTAGGTCTGGTCTGGATTGGTTTGCTAACCAGTTCAAGCTGCCATTGATCGCTCTAAGACAACTCACTTCTTTGGCATCGAGTGCAACGTCTCGAACACGAGCCCTTTCCCGACTGAGGTGGAGGGGTCTTACCTTCTCCTTGGTAAAACGGCTCTGGCTCATGGTGATTTCATGTGTATTGGGGTCCTGAAAGTATTGACTACCACAAAAATCCCCAGACCCTTTTCTCCATTTTCTGAATTCGAACACCCGTTGAAGCTCTTGGATGGCTGCTGAGTATTTTGGTCTCTGTCCTCCGGTCACACAGTCATCAACATGAACCCCATAGATCCCGGTCAGTTTTCCTTCTTCTCGAAAGTAAAAGAGACAAGAATCGAATCGTGACCTCTCGAAACCAACCCGTGTTAGTTCTTGGTACAGCTTTTTGTACCATGCAGCTGGCGAGTCGTTCAACCCGTACACATGTCCACAGACCTCTATCAGGGCATCTTCGGGAACTCCAGGGATGCCACCTTTTGGGAGACTAGCGTAGAGAGGGCGGTACCGTTGTGGTAGATCACCCGCTGCTAGGAATGCCCCTTTTACGTCCCCCAAGGACATATTCCAACGAAAGGATGACAGAAGCTGAAAGATCAGATTACGTCCGACCTGACTTAAGGTGGGACTCTGAAGATCACCTTGCATGGCCTTCTCACTGAGATCTGGGTCCAAGTGGCCCTGAAGGCACCAGCGTGCTTTCATGCGTGGTGCCGAGTCATCTTCTTGCTTCACCGTGATGACATATCGACTACCCATGATTCGGTCACTGTGGTGTCTACGGACTCCCTCGGCTTCGGGTCCTAGGACTAATCTGGCTGCATGCTTAGCTAGGATGGTATTCCATTCCAACAATTTGGCCTCGTCGATCTTAATCTGGATTTCGGTCGGGTTACCTGACACGGGAAGCTCTTTAGCAGCCTTCTTCTTGAGGTATGTTGCTACAAGAATTTCATGTGGCGTTCCTTCCCGATACATGGAGATCAGTTGATTTAGGTCTTCTAGAGAGAGGTTATCGCTCCTGGGATCATAACTTTGTTGTTGCAAAACCTCGACAGAACAGATGGCTACTTCATCCTTGGCGAACGTGCTGCCAACTGGTTCCACGATCAGGCTGTCGTCCATGTCATGTGTATGATCATATGCGGCTGCACGTTTGCCTACTGGTTGCTCGGCACCACTGGTGTCATCAACCATGCGCTTTTGGCCCCTCTGTGATTCAACTGTGGAACTCGGCTCAACCGGTTCCGAGGCGGATGACGCCGGTGGCGTGGTGTCTATGACTTGTTTAATGAGCTGAGGAACAATCTCTTGCATCATGTCTTGGAAGTCATCTTGCATCATACGACCCGGCCGGTATAGAGCGGATGCTCCATCCTTGTGCAAAATGCGCCGTCGAACAGGCCGGACAGGCCCATAGCCGGTAGTCGGATCCACCGTGTCAGCATCAGGTGGTGGCTGTGGGATCGTCTTGGATGGCCTAGTGTCAGGCGGCTCTTCGCGGAAGGTTGTTGCCTTGTCCTCCACTGGGACCTGTGTATCGTCACTTTCCAACGGGGTTGATAGTGGAGGTGGACTCAGACTATCATTACATCCTGTTGTGGCAGGTCTAGCAGGCATCGACGGGAGGTCGACAGGGCTTCCTTCCACAGGCCGTGGGGCAGTATCTGTCTCTGGCATTGGCAGCTCGCTCGGATAGCTCTCTGGCACGAGGTCGATGTACTGTCGGCTTTCAAGCTTTCCGGCTTCGATCAGGTGTTTGATTCCTAGGAGTTCCATGTGTGGTGTTTCAACCAACTTTTTCTCCTCATGAGTGGACGGTCGAATTTGTTCTGGAGCACAGCGAAAGACCTGTCTTTTGTGAATGACCACTACGTTTCTGCCAACATAACCCAACACCACAGCAGGTCCATGCCAACGTCCGGTCTTGTCCAGAGAACCGTGAACCCACTTTTGGGATCGCCAATAGGCAACATAGGAACCTGGTTCATGCATGTGGTTTACCCTAGGGCGGGCTGCCAAGGCCAGACGAAGTGCCTTACTGTCCTGCAGTTCGAGAACTGCCTTTCGGGCTTGATTGGCGGATGGCAACCTGTCGGGCCACGGCTTCTTCATACAGTGATGATGTGGCAGGAACTATCTCTAATGGTTCGTCCAACAAGTTTTCTGGAATTCGGGGGTTCCGGCCAAACACGAATTGTGACGGGGTCATGCCATACACCTGGATCAACTGGTTTTTGCAATGTGCTGCACTAACACATTCAGTCCATTCCTCCCGGTTGGAGGGGGAGTGCTCCGACAGGATGCGATCAAGCACACGGGCGAACCAACCCCCGTGCACCTCGCATTTCCCGAGTTGCCAGTGGGCATCAGCAGCTATAAGCTTAAAAGAGGCGCCACCCTTCTCGAGAATCGAGGAAAAGGCGTCGGGCAGATTCGCTCGGTGAGGATCGCAAACGATCTCCTGAGGCATGCCGGCCCAAGACACCCACCTGTCTAGGAACACCTGTTTCAAGACCGAAGATGACTCCCGTTGGAAGATTGGAACAACAATTTGCAACGAATTCTGTTGTACGATGTACCTGAGCGGGCAGGGCTACCTTTGGGCTCTTCTGGGCTAGGCACTGATCGCATTGGAAGGCTCGGGCAGCATTCAGCGCGGCTTCGGAAGCACCACCATGTTTCAGGACTCGGATCAATTGTTGATTGGTGGGATGTCCCAAGTTGTTGTGAAGTCGTCTCAAGCTCGTTTTGACTTTGTCCTCGCTCTCATGGTTCAGTCCTCCAAAGACTGGGCTACGAGGCACTCTTGCAAACGGTCTTCGACCACAATGAGAGATTCAGTCACCGGCAACCCTTGGGTCACTCGCAACACGGCTTTAACAAAAGCAGGGGTGTACTTGGCAGCGTGTTTGCTGACAGCACCTACCATGCGATGATGTCCGGCCACTGGCTGGTGACATCGATGGCTCTCATGTGAAGACCCAGGGCATTGCTTGGCTAGGCATCTCATTCGGTCATGCGAGACCAAAAGGCGGGTGGACTTTCGGATCAACTCTCCGCCTGGGATGCGCAGTCCATAACAGCACATGTCTACCGACACTAGGTGCATCCGTTTGGTTAGCTGTTGCATGGACGGAAGATTCCAAGCTACCGAATCTCTTGGGTGCTCAAACATGCATTGACCTCCATGTGTGAGCTGGAGCTCCATGAGTTCACAACAAAACTTGATGAACAACCGAGTCCACGTTTCCCTGATTGCAACTTCTTGAGGGGTCATGTACTGTCGATTCAAGTGCCACCATCCTCCCGCCCAAGTGCAAGGAGGGCAACAAACAAGCAGCTTAGGTTTACTCACTTGAACATGGCTTTTCAATGACTCCCGATCGGCCTTCCTACGAAAATCCCATCCGGTGCACAGATCTGCCGACAGGACCCGGAGGCCCAGCTTACTCCCTTCAAGACCAAAACGAGGTGGTGAAAACACTTCGATGATGTCATACCGTTCTGTTTGGTCACGGTCCGGCGCCTTGACTTGAGCAATCAACTGCCGATGTTGCTTGGCAGTCCATTGCATCAACCGGAGCCGTTCTTCCTGGGCCGGAGGGATGGTCGGCGGCGGAACATGTCGTAGGAGTCGAAAGACTGTCTTGCCAGTCCAGGGAATTGCATCATGATGGGCGTGGGCACTAAGCGGATCAGTCCAATCGTCTTCAAGGTCCCTGACTGTGGAAGCATGTGTGTTACGAATGTGTTGGAGACGGTCGACGGCGACCGGGCATTGTGTGTTATGTGGTGTGAACCTGGTGGTACGTGGCTTGAGGTGGTGTCGAATAAGCATACGATCCTTGGGCCTATACTCCCAGTAGTCTTTCATCTTTGCATGTGAGTGGTTATATTCTACCGAGAGGCAATTGTCTTCGATCGACTGGTCAGGCTGCGGCTCGGAACCTGGGAACAGACGGGACGCCTGTTCAGGAAATGCCGTCACATAGATGGCATACTGGCCGGCAGCATTGATCTCCATTGGGATATTCACCTTTCCAGCGAACAGGGTGAGGCTGTCATTTGCGAAGTCAATCTGGGCCTGCAACCTCTGTAGAGCAGGCCGAGACAGCAACAATGGTGCCGAGCCCTTGACGATGGCAGCTTTGATGTATCCAGGTCGACCGGCCAAATAGACCGGCATGTCAACCACAGAGGTGCTCACCTCCTGCTCACCATTGCCAAAACGAAAGCTGTTCTGCTCAGCCTTCTCTTGGGGACAAGGCACGCCGTGCTTCTTCCAAATGGCCTGAAAGGACTCGAGGGTTGATCGTCCGACGATCGTCTTGCCACAGCCACTGTCCAAGATTGCATATCCAGGACTACTCACCAGGAAAACCTCGATCTCGGGGCAACTTTCGGCGGCGCAGACAAAATGCTCTTGCACCGGACTGTCGATCACCTGAACTGCGCCAGCTGCATGACTGGAGGGTGCACCAGAGTGTGAACCAGCTGAGATATTGGCCTTACATTCACGCTGCCAATGTCCAATCTTGCCGCATTTGCGGCAGCGCGTTCTCTGCTTCAGCTCCTCGACCTGCACCCGGAAGGATCTTTTGAGGTCCTTGCCAGCTGGGGCTCCTCGCCGACTGTCGGGCGGGGTGAACTTACGCCCCTTCTGAACCATGTTCAGCTCAGCACGCTTCTCACGCCAGGTGGCAGCTAAGATCTCCGCTGTCTCTTCTTCATCGAAGCCGTCCTGGATGTAGTCCTCTGCCGGCAGAGTTGAGCTCTCCTCAAAGCCATGTTCGGCCAGAAACAACTCGACGTCTTGAAAGGAATCCTCACCCGTCGGTTCATTCGACGAGGCAGCAGGGAACTCTTCCACCATATGGACAGCAGCGGATCTTCGCTTAGGCACCACATAGTCGGGGAAGCATGACCTCATGGATTGAGCCAACTGTTCGAACTTGAGGTCTCCTTGAGCTCGAGCCAGGCACACTGCACGTTGTTCCTCGGCCATGCCACTCTGATTCAGCAAGATCCATCCTCTTGCTTCTTCTGGGAATTTGACGCCCGTTTTACGGGCACACTTGTCGAAGCATTCGCGGGCCCTTGCACACCATTGGCGAATGGTCTCGCCTTCTTTGGCCCGCAGTCCAAACACGTCGGCGATGTTCTCGCCGATCTCGTCGGTTCTGTCCAACTCGGGCCACCGACGATCCAGCAATTCGAAAAGCTTCTTCTCTCCCCCCTTCACCTGGTAGTCTTCCTCTTTGAGGTGCTCGACTACCTCTAGAGCACGGCCGGACAGGAGCGTCCAAATGAACGATCCACGTGCCTCTTCTGCCAGCTTGTCCATTGTGCGCATCTTATTGAGCGCCCATTGCTTCCACCTCTTGTACTCACGATGGTCGCAGTCTTCTCCACTAAAGTACCTCAGTGAGGTACCCGCTTCCATGGCTGCACAGTCGCACAGCGGTGCGCGTCCAGCGCACCCACCAAAAACAACCTACCGGAGCCAGGTATCTACCTAGACCTGGCTCCGCTACCAATAATGGTAGCCCCCGCACCGCGTCCCACGCGGTCGCCGCGTCCCACGCGGCCTTTCACTCGCTCGGGCCTCAAAGTCCCTGCACAGTCGCTCGTTGACATATGTATATGTATACGTATGGTCTGGTGACCTCATCGCCGACACGAAGTGCGTTCGGCGAAGCAGGCTTCGCCGCTGCGGCGTTCGGAGAAGGCCTGGCCTCCTCGTCGCTCTCCTCGTCGCTTTCCGGTTCCCCGCCCTGGCGATGGAGGGAACTCCGCTTCAGGGTGTCGACGAGAGTGGTCCCCAACGAGGTATCTGAATCCATGTTCCAATGCCCAATCACCTGGGACCACTTAATGTAAAGCAGTCATGACAACAAGAAGGTACTGGGTTCATGTGCACGCACTATCTGGCAAGCGTGCAACAATTCACCTAAATTGATAATAGGAATCCCCACGCACGTCACAACTCATTGAGGAAGTGGCTGACTAGTTTCGCCAGCCCCAACTGGTTTGCTCGTCACACTTTGCCTTTCATTTGTGATGTCTTTTTTCGCACCAACGCACGCGTTTGGGATACCTTTGAGGCCCCAAATCAGCACGGCGCACCCAAACTCAAGCGTTTCTTGTGTATGCCATCACCCTCAAAATCTCCTGAGATGCCACTTGATTTGTAACATCTCGGAGGTGTGGAATCCTGAAACCATGCGCGCCAAGGTGAGAAACAGAAAGAAGACACACTGGGCCTTCTTTCGTGGACTTCCACGTGCCTTTTCGATGATCGTCGGCCCTTCCTGTAGCGGAAACCCTTCCTGTAGCGCTCTTGGGGCGCCGGACGCAAATCCAGGACATGCTAAAGGGCGTGCAAACAAACAAGCCGACCTGGCTGGCGATCACGGTGGCAGGTCCGGTCGCTGGAGTTGAAGCAGAGAGGGGATTGGGATCAGAAAAGAGGGACGGGACTTGTTACTAGTAGTATGGCCAGGAGCCCCTAGTAGCGTTCTTGTTACCCATGTCTGGACATGTCACTGATGGGATTTGTTGGGGCTTGTTGGGACCCGCTGGGACCCCCTTGAATTGAACAGAGTTTGGAGGTCGTTCAGCCTGAAGCCTGAAGCGCAGAAGTTACTTATGTGAGAATGTGTCACTCACAACCAATGGCGTTGGTGGGTCCCTGTCTATCCCCAACAGGGTTTGACCAAGGTTCGGAATAATATCTTCCCACCGTATACACACATACAATGTTGTTCGGTCACTGGCAGGCATCTTGGGATTTCAGCCCCGATCCGCGGAAGATTTGGTGACGTGGAAGATTGTTCGGCTGCGATGTCCGTACTTGGGAATGGTACCATATATATATACCATATCATATACCACTTCATATAATACATCCCTGGTGATAGATGGGTTGCATGCTTTAGCGGGCATTTTATGGAGAAATGGTGTCTATGAAAACTGAAATATTCTCTATGAGATGGGCATCCAGGTGTTACTATGAAATGGCGTTCCAGATGATGAGAGGTCTAGAATTATAGGTTGGACTCCACGCTGGGTCAGATCTATTCTTTCTATGAACAGGGATACCACATTGCCACTATGAAATGGAAAACCGGGTTCAGAAAGATTCTACCAGCATCGCCACTTCATATAATACATTATAATACCACATATCTATATAGTTAGAATTATATATATATAATCCAACCAACCAATAAAATGGCATGGCTCGGCTCGCTTCACCAAGTCGCCTCTCCGACCAAACACCGAAGACCGAATCCAGGAGAGTCAGGCTGCCCCCACACAAAAGAGTACCACGACACCCAGCAGGAACCATGGTCCTTAGTGACATTGAGAGATGTCATGGGAAGATGACAGAATTTGGACATCTGATTAGAGGGAATGTTAATCGCTATTTGGTTGGAGGCCATTAGAACACATGGTACATTTTGGCTCCCAAAGAAGTACAACATGGTGGAACACATGAACCGCCTTTCCGGGTGTCCTCCTTTTCGTGTCGGGGCTGTCGGGGCTGGAGATATGAGGGGAGGAGTTCTGGAGACTGACGCGACCTCCATCTTTATACTCCATTCCAAGAAATGGACACGCTTGTTAGGGGAATGTTCCTACCAAAAACAGCCAGCCCCAGGCGCGTTTTGGTGTCTGATGTATTTAGTTCTGACCCCTCCAGCTGAATGCGGTTCCGCAAGGTACCGGTGAAGGTTACAGCGGCCACCAACAAGACTCATGGTCTCATGGTGTATGTTTCGTTTGTTTTAGGCAAACGGTGTTGGTACTGGCACACATAATTCAGGTTGATTTCCAAAGTTTGCGCTCTGCAAATTGTGGAACGCAAATAAAGCAAATTGAGCCCAACCAATTTCATGATTTTATGCCCATGCATGCCCCCTGCAAATCTCGAATGGATTGCAGGTGAACCAAAGAATTCAAGAACCATCAGTTTCACCAGGAAAGCACTCAACATCATTGATCAGCCTGGATTCCAAACATAGATTGTTCCACCTCTCTACTGACTTGAAACGTCTAATTAGGTGTTGGATTTGTTTCTTGTCACAACTATTGATGTCCAATTTCCACAAAGAAATGGGCGTCAAACTTGACGAGCGAACGGCTTTTGTCAGAATGGAGTGATGCCGGTTCCAAAAGTGAAGAGCCGTTTCTTGGAGAACTCAGGTAGCCTCAGCAATCTTTTCGATCCAATTTCACCTGCTGTTACATCTTGTGCACATATCATCTGGTGGTACGGCAGGTTCCAAAACAGAAATACATACTTTGCTTCGAACAACCCCTACCTGGAGAGGCGATTTGGAAGACGGGAGGGAGCATGTATTGACGGTTCATCCTGACAAATGTTACGTGAGTTGACACAATGTTTTGATATGTTGCTATCAACTCTGTTATGTTTTTCACACATCATCTAGCATTCATCTGGCATAAAGGCTGGAAAACTTACTGGAATGTATTCTGACATCTTGTCTGCCCAGCCATCAGTTTGACATATGTTCTCGCATCAAAAACGGCACGTCACATGTTCTGAAGTGTGTTGTGACACATGGTCCGACTTTTGTTCGGATATGTGTTCTCACAGCAAAAACATTATTAAACGCACTGACATGTATCGAATTGTCCTGCTATCAGATCTACTGTCCGTTCCGACGTGTGTTCTGAGTTCTGACATATGTTCCGACATTTGCTTTGATATGTGTTCTGACGTGTTCTGCCCTCTATTCTGACATTTGCTCTGACATTCTGCCTGACAGGTGTTCCGACATTTGTTTTGACACGTGTTATGGCATGTGCTTCCGGTAAACATTCTAACATCTGTTCTGACAATTGTGCTAGGCATGGGGCATGCCGTCTGACATGTTTTCTGGCTTATCTGTTGGCATTTGCCCTGAAATTATATACACATACAGACATCTAATCACATACCGTATATTCCTGGCAGCCAAGTCCAGGGGCGCACCACACCGCAGCCGGAGCCGTCAAGAGTCCATGACGCATCGCTCGGCCGGAGCCACCCAAAAAGGGGCATCGCTAGGAGCAAGGACGCTACTAGTAGCTCCTGGCCTTACTAGGAACAAGAAGCTACTAGTAACAAAGGAAATATCCTCATAGTGCTGTTTCTCACCTATCATCACCTATTATCTATCCCGGCCGACTTGTGATTTGCAGAGCGAGCTGACCATCTTGAAGATGTACATTGCTTCGGGGTACCCTCAAAGAAAGCATTTGGTGTCCTCCATTATGGATGGAAACCAGTTGACAAGAATGTGTACATGATGGCCTCGGCTGACGCTGCTACACTAGTCAATATTTTAGTGAGGGAAGACGCAAACTTTCTAGTGGCCTTTGGATCTTTGGATGATGTCTGTGCTTTACTTTCCCGGTCCAAGCACGTAGCTGGACGCACCCTGACCTGACATGAGGGAGTTGGGATACTTGCGACGTTTGAGCCGCTAGTGGCCCCACCAAACCCTGTCAAGGTTGACCGATGACTGAGGTTGACGGCCACTGTATTCCTCTTTGAGGGGCCCGGCGCCACCAATCGTCGTCCTCCTCAGTTTGATTGACGTACCAGGTAGGCGTAAATGTTTGTGCAACCCAAGGGATCTACATCAACCACCCTTTGGTTGTTAAAGGGGTGCATATTGACCGTGTTAGATTGTAGAACCGTGGGGATACTGGCTCCGGGAACCAATTCCAAACCGAGAGCATGGAAAATGAACACGGCGACATGGAGATGGTGTGAGGGGGGTCGCATTAAAACAACACCTTGCATGTCAGATTGAAAACTCTATTTTGAAATATCAACATTGCTCTGAATATGTTTGGGCGAGGACTGAAGTAGAGCATCACCCGTGACAGTGGAAGCATGATTTGTGCGTGTTGTTGCCAAGTCAAGGCCCGGCGCTTTACAAGTGTTAGGTGCACAATCAAAGGCAATTGAGTTGAGGCAATCTTAATCTTGCAATTCGCAACAACAAACCACAATTTCAGACCTGTGTTTGTCATTCTCGATGGCCATGGAAATGAATGCTTATACATCGAAACTGAAAACATGTACTGACTGTTGTCCGCAGACCTGAATGAACTCTGCGATGGAACCCAAACATGCGTCATCAAACTGCATGTAGTCCTCCGATAAAAAAGAACTGAGGAAACCGATAACTGATCTTCGAACTGGAAAGCCAACCTTGCAGCGGCGAAACCATTCACCTCGGTTTCATCACTAAAATCACAGTATTGGGGACCGCTGATGTGTAACAGGTTATTGCATCCTTTCCCTGATTGAGCTCCTGAAGCTGGAGGTTCCGGGATTCACCAATAGTTATCAAAATATGATCCGGAAAAGGATACTTCAGTCAAGTATACCTGAAGTATCCTGAAGTCCCTTGAGCTCCGCCT